GACATGTGGGGGGGGTACCCCTCGGTCTCATTTCTTGCTGGGTATATACATTCCAGAATTGTTAATTCAAGATGCTACAAATCCACTCGCCTTGTTCTGTGACGTGCAGACGCGCGCCATTCAAACAGTGACGTGCCACACGTGCGCAGCTATGCCCTCTTCAGAAGTGGTACTACTTTCAGGAAAGAACACCACCATTTGGGAGAGGGAAACCCGATCGAAGAACCATGAAACGGATATCACAATTCGTGGCTCGGGCCTTCGATTTTTGTCACCGGAGATCTCGAGTGCGTGACAATGCATACGTTCCGGGACCATGAGAGCCCAGAAATATGCAGCCTTATGCAACTGCGTCGTTTCGGATTCCACTGAGCGTCAGGGTTTCGTGATGATGTCAGCGCTTCGTGTAGGCAAACATCACCGAAGTGATGTCTGTACCACAAATTTCAAGACGGCATTTTGCAATACCAGAGATCAGACAGCAGAATTCTGAGACTGAAGAACGTCTGGTCTGCATGGACTGTATAACTGACGTCTCAAAATTGGTAAGCAGGGTTTAAAATATAGAGGCAAGTTATGCGTTAACGCGTCCTCAGGGGGCAAGAGTTTTGAATCACTGCAATAGGCTCGAGTAAGCCTTTTGTGCATAACACTAAATTAAGATACCAAAAACAGCCTCTGAGACAACAGCAACGCATAACGTCATTATGACGTTTAGCACCACTAAGACTTTGACACTTCAGAACGTGAAAATCCATTTTTGCACTGTAAAAACCAACGCCTATTATAAACACGTCTTGTAAACATGTACCCGCTTAAAATTAAACATCTTTACTGAAAACGTGTTTTGGTGTTAAGAAAGTGTTACTACCCTATAAAAGTGTTCTTGTGTCTTGTTAATTAACACTGAAACGCGTCTTTGCGTCTATTTCATTAAAACATCAACAGGTCTTTGTTTAGAAAATAAACGCATCAACGTGTTTAAGAATAGGATTGTTAACACTAGGACGCGTTCATAAAGTGTTACAAGGAATTCGGAAGGTGTTAAGATTAACACTTGTTTTAACAGTGTGGTGTCATTTTTGCTCTTACTGGCCATCCAAGCCTTTATACGAATGCTTCAGGAAAGAGGCGTGCTTTTATTAGTCACTTCTCAAATTCATTTTAATCCTAGCTAATGTTGTTGATTAACTTTCATTGAAAACAATTTAAACTATACCAATAGGCATATTCATATCTATTACTACTTCTCATATATTGTGAAATAACCCGAAATCACCCAATACATACACTATGTATCTGTTACATATATTGTTCAGCTCCAGCCTGGCCAAATTCATTTCACGTTATCATGATGGACAGAAAGGAACTCCGGGGCTTGGTATCCCTTTCCAGATATGGCCACATCCGAAACGAGAATTGTTCTTTGTGGCTGTGACTAATAACTGAGGAGGACCAGTGGCAAAAAAGAAGTCTAGTCACCAAATAATCATTTCAGAGATGGCCTATAGTGACCCTGTGCGAAATTAAAGACACCAGACTACTCTAGGGATAGAAGTAATTGGTGACACCCAGCATGATCTGTGGCAAAAGAGAACCCCGTGTGACGCGTAATCTATACCCTAAGACTGTAGACCCTATTCACGTGGAAGCCATTCCCCAAATCAGTTTTATATATTGCAAACCGTCGATTAGGGTGGCACCAGACTGTTTTATACTTCAGTGAGTTCAAAGCCCCCCTTTCAATATTTTGTTCTAAATCTGGTTTCGAACACAGAGGTACATTTTTGTGTGTGAAATCATGACTTTGAAATTATTCATCAGAGTAGACAGGTGCAAATTTGTCATGAAATTTCACTTTATTGCTGCATTTACTCTCAACATTCCAAAATGAAGAGTTAACCTCGATTTCAAATTCAATATAGCCGGCCCCGTGATTACATTCTATCGTACCGACTGCCTCCCCATGAAAATCTGAGAGGAATTCCCAGGTTTCCTACAACACAAAAGAAGACGAGCGGGGGGGGGGCTTTGCCCACTCACTCATCGTGCACCACATGGAGCCGTTGGTGGCTTGTATGTTTTGAATCACACGGGGCTCAGGCCCGCTTCAAACGTCGAACTTCTGCCGTGTCTAATTCTAATAATGGTACAAAACTTGAATTGGACACGGCAGAAAATCGACGTTTGAAGAAACTGCCGGCTTTCTGCCGAAAGTTCAGCAGGTCTTGCCACTTTTAACTGCTTACTAGTGGCACTGCTTCAAACGCCGAATGTCTGCCGTGTCTAATTTAATTGACAGGTCCAAAATCAGAATCGTAGTGGTTCCATTTGAAAATGCGCATGCGCCTGCTGCAATTTTGCCCGTGGACATATCATTGAGTAAAGAGGATCTTCCGTCTGAACATGGTATTGATGAGCAGACAGATGAGGAAACCAGCGTTCCACCATGTCTGACATTTGTGTCTTTATGGCTAAAATAATGTCGACCCGACAAGGTCAGTTTGGGGCCTGGGTTGTGACATTTTCTTTTAGGAGGAGCAGCAGGAGCAGTGAACAGACAAAACCGTCTTTTTAAATATTATCTGCAATAAAATTTACCACAAAGAGAAAGTGTCGCTTAATCACTACATATGTCTCCTGTCCTGGTGCGCTGTCATGAAAGATCACATTATGTTCCACGGAAAATCGACGTTTGAAGCAACTGCCGAATTTCTGTTGCTTTTAGGGGGATTGCGATTAATTGAATTGGACACAGAAGTTCGACGTTTGAAGTGGGTCAAACCGCTGACGGCAAAGTACATGAGCTTCAGTGTTCACTGGATAGCCAGCTTTTTGTCAAACATTTCAAGTCCCGAATGAACATCACAAATCTATTCATCCACGGCAGGGTGTTATGGACCAACGAGTGCTCATGGCGCCCTCAGTCGACTGTCAACCGTGCCACTGCAGTTTTTTTCCTTTTTTTTTTTTTTTGGATGTGTTTTATTTCGCCTTCAGCCATAGTTGATCAGAATTCAGCCTCAACTGTTTGGAAGTAAATTGGCTGTTCGGTACGTTCTATTGTCTCATTGTTCTGAGTCTGCAACTCAGTCAAGGTGAGTGGCCTTGGGAACGGTGGTGCAGTTTCTTTCAAGTTGGGGAAATTTTGAGAGCGACGTCTCAAGGGTTTGATTATGCAAACGACGAGGATGAAGATAAAGGTGACCATGGCTGCGAGGAGGACAACAGAAACCACGAAAGCAGCGATCCACGGCACATAGGGGGTGGGGCTATCCTTGGGTAGGGTTGGTTGAGGGCTGGAGGCATTGGGTAGACTCAGAGGACCGGCCAGGCCCGTTGTGGTTTCGGACACGTGCAGTGACGTCAGCATCATTAGTGGTCGTCTTGTGGCTTGACTTGGTCTCGGTGATATGGGATCTGTTGGATGTCTGACCACACTAACTGGCCCAATGGTGCAAGAACGCCTTTTCCCGGGGAAAGATGCCGAAGAAATCGTGCACATGAATTCAGTCCCACCATACTTCTGTCGTCGTATCCAGTGACATTCTGACGGTGCCGTTGACGGTCAAAGATGTCCACGCGTTCTCGATGGGCATTTCTGGAGTTTGAGAAACACCCATATGGATTACGGGATTTCCGCCCTCAGACGAGCACTGAATGTGTAACTCGGTACCAGTGTCGACTGAAATTGGTCCGGCGGGGGAGCAAATGGGAAAGGGCTTACTGGGGAAGTACAACACTTCAAGCGTTATCGGGGCGGTTGCAGCCGCTTCGCTGGCAGGATTGGCCAAAATGTCTTTGACACTGCAAGCATATTCTCCCTGATCCACTCTGTGCAAGTTGGTGACGGTAAAGTCTTGGACGATGAGGGCGTTATTGGCTCTACTGTTCTCCGTGTGGAACACAAACCGTTCGTTGGTCGTCGTAGTCACGGTGCCCCATCGCAGAGTTCCCTCGGCGGGTTCCCGACGGCGCCACTCCACCACGTGGTAGTACCTGAGGCCCGTGGCGATGCACGTCATGTGCACCAGCTCGCCCTCTCTCATCAAGCCGTCCTCTGGTGTCACGATCCACGCAGACACGGTCGCTCCTTCGACGACCAAGAAGGGCCCGCCTGCATCCAATGAACACCACACCCGCAGCAGAAATAAACACATGTACAACTTGATCCTTCTTTCCATCTTCGACTCGGTCTTCAGTTATTAATATGCTCAAATTCAAAGATGGCTTCAAAACTCAAGCTGACACAGGGTGGCCCCCTTAAGTCCGTAGCGTTCAGTTGTACCCGACTCAAAAACAGGTGTGTTCCCAATGACTTTGTGTCCCTGATGAGCAACTAAACTACAGTAAAAACTGGCGTTCCACAAAGAATAAATGGCCACTGCCGGGGAACGGCATCGTTTCGTCCACATAAACCAAGGCAATTTCGGACATTAAGCTTGAGCCGTCCAAGGACACTCTGATTTCCATTGTCCTTCACGTTATTACCCTGGCATACATGGGGTAGCATCTCTGTTACGATGTTTCCTGGGTTGTTTCTTTGGTGTCAGTGGTGTTAGCAGTTTGCAAAGCTGTGTGGTTTTGTCACAAAGACTTGGCATAATTTTTCTGTATACAACTTGCTGAGATTTCAGATGTTCAAAGGCCATCCCATACTATGTGCATCTTTTCTCGGATTCAAGGGGGCGCTCTCTCGTATAGGACTTTGGGACAGTGCTCGAAATGAGATCGTTGCAGTCTGCTTGTCATTGTAGCAGGTGCCCGCCAGTGACGGGACCTAGTAGACTTCCTTAGACGCAGTATTCGGACATACACGGCCTTTCCCTGGATACCCACTGCCAACGGGTATTACCTTTAATTTCCTCAACATTTTGCAAATCTGCGACCCCCCCCTTAGCTTAAATAAGCTGACTTCAACAAAATCACGAGAAAAAAAATCCCAGAAAAGACGTGTGTGACAAAAGTTCATCACTAGTCATTTCTGTCATAATGTCAAACAAACGGTGACGATTCAGTCGTAACTGTGACCAAGCAGAAATTCGGAGACATCCTCACACACACACACACACACAGCTCCAGATGACTGACATTAAATTCCAGTTCCACGGCATTGTAAGCAAAATATTTATCATAGCCCTACAATTCAAGGGCTGGTCCTCAACTAAATCTTTGAGAACCAAAAACATTGGGAGTTTCTTTATGTATACCTGACCTTTTTTTGTGGCCTTTCTGAGGGATGAGACTGAACTCACAATTATGTTTTGGAAGGGAAAGAAAATGAAAAAGTACCTCCAAATCGCCACTCTTACTACATTTTAAAAACAAAATATTTTGTCCCTTGGAGGCCGTGGAATGGCCCCCTTGGCCCCATGGATTCGCCAATGACTCCATATCCAGCTGTTTCACCATTAGTGCCACAATTTTGAAACTAAACTAACAAGTATGCTATTTTAGTACAGCACGGGCCTACTTCAAAGTAACTACAGACCACTTCCGCGGACGCCATCACTATATCCTAAACAGGATAAGTATGGAAAGCATAATTTTGACAGCCTTGAGCTTGAGACACGTGGCGCTAAAACAAAACTACCAGGTGATTCAAAAATTGAAAAAAAAAATCACAAAATGTAATTAACATATTCATGACATATACCAGCAGTCTTACATTCGCAAATAGGTTTTACTCAAATTAGAAAATATGTAATTTAAGCAACTGTGAAATATGCTGGTACGAATTACGATGAAAGATCAACTTGTCGGGGGACGAAAACACTCAGTCTACAGAAATAATGGTACTTGAGTGATAATGGTTTTCTTGCACGTGGGAATGTCTTTGTGCCTTCAGGAATGGAAATTCCTGAAGCAAATTAAATAATTTAACCTTTCGAGAGGCCGAGGTCCAGCTGCTATCATGGCAACCGGAGCATAGAAGTCGACGTGTACATCTTTGAAATTTCATGATCTTGCTAAATCATTAACAACCATCCGTAAGTGAAAACGACCCTACCTTTTTGGCCGCTTTTTAAAGTTCAAACCACACATTATGCCAAATGTATTTGAGGGCCTCAGGGGTTTCGCAAACAGGTTGGCCTCATTTCTTTCAACGTAGTATGCGAACTTGCTTCAAACTAGAGTCGAATTTCCTACTTGAAGCTCGGCGACAGGGGTAGATTACTCATTTCTGCGATAAATGCAAGTCGGTTTGCTTTTCGGTCTTTTCAGAGGGTAGTTTCAATTTTACAGAGTCTGCGCTTTTTATGTCACTGTTGAGTTTCCCTACAAGTGATTGCTAAATAAAAAAAATCCTCTTTAAAATTGAGACAAGTAGGCATTCTGAACGAATTCGGAGTAACATCGAAACATAACAAAAGGATGATTTTTTTTCTGCAAGCATTAGCCGCCCATACAAATTGTAGGCAAAACCAGAGTGGTCTAAATTTATTTCCAACTTTTGATTGTAGGCCTATATTCTTTTTTAACATAAATGGGAAGTCTACATCTTTAGGCGAAAGAAAAAGGTTCTATCTCGGCCTTTGATATAATGAACAATGGACAGTGACAATTTGTCTACTGTTGAAAATCTAAGTAGTGGCTTAAGGGTAGTTTTTCAACAGCTTAGGGGTGCTTTTTAACCCCCTTTAAGAGCGGGTGGGGCTGCACATACGTTTCTGTAATCTTTATAAAAACTTGTGGAGAGAAACATAACATATTTTTCTTTCCCTTTATTGAAGGACACCGACAAATTATTGGCAACACTTTTAGCATCCAGCATTCAGACACTGCAATTATCAATTGTGGACAAGCATTGCACAGGCTTAAAACATAATGCACGATAACACTGGGAACCTACGTGTATGTGACAGAATATCAAATGTAACTTTGGAAGGAGGGCACATTAATATGAAACTTGTAGAAGTGCTGTGGTCAAGACCATCACAAGACCATGCACAAGACTATGCACAAGACCAGTTATAAGACCATGCCCAAGACTATGCACAAGACCAGTCACAAGACCATGCACAAGACCATGCACAAGACCGGTCACAAGACCATGCACAAGACCAGTCACAAGACTACGCACAAGACCAGTTACAAGACTATGCACAAGACCGGTCACAAGACCAGTCACAAGACCAGTTACAAGACCAGTCACAAGTGAGAGGGTGAACAATGAGACATGAATGCTTTTTGTTGGAGTTACTTTCGAATAAGTTGTGAATTGAATTTCGGCTTGGGGTCTTTGTGATGGTCTTGACCACAACACTACTTTACAGATTGACTGGAAATACTTCTTCTGAGCTCCTTAGTCAAATAAGCCAATGCATATCTATCACCAAAATGAAGAATCAGAGGTTACAGTTATTACAGAATATTACAATGGTCGTTCGTTTGTAAAATAGAAAATTCAGATAAGTTTGGATGATATAATTGTGGGTGAAGCCAATATAAACACACATGAGGTTTTATACTTCGTGACAATCACAGATTTCTGTAGCTGGACTTTAACCACAGTGTTTAGAATTTTTTACTTGACTTTTGGCATAGTATTTACAAAGAAGGCTCCTTTACAGAAAGCACTTGGTTCCTGGAGAATGCAGTGAGATGTATAGGTACACAAAATTGGTACATAAGCGGAAAGTCAATTTTACACACACAACAAAAATTTGGATTCAAGTAATGTTTTGATAAATAAAAATGTAAGAATGGTAACACAATAAATAAAAACACGAAAAGAGCCAAAATGTGGAATTCTTGCCGAAATGGAGTGTCTCAAGTCTTTGAAAGTTTGAACAGAATAAGGATGCAAAGGTTTTTTCACTGTCTGCACATCAGAAGGCCTATGGATAGGGCTGAGGCGAATATCTGAACATGAACCAAATATTCGATCCATTATCGAATATTCGAATATCATTTTTCAAACTTGAATATTTGAAAGCAAAATTCATGGAAAGGAAGGGAAAATTTTCTTTTGTTTTAAGTGAAAAAATTGCACTATGGAGGTTTGTTTCAAGCAGTTTCAAATGAAAAGCGACAAAAATCCTACAACGATTTAAAAAGTAAATTATTCATTAAACAATTTAAAAGGAGTAGAAATTTTCAACAGGGCAAGAAGTCTTCATCTCTTGCTAAATCGTGGCTGGAGATACTCCTAGATGTGAGAAGCTATTACATTGATCATAATGTACAACTGGGTGTGTTATTGCAACTGATTTTGTATATGGTTTATTCATCAACAATCTGCCGCTCAGTGCGACCAAATATTCAGATATTTGATCAAATTGAAGATCAAATATTCGAAAAGTGAATTATTCGAATTGACTCAGCTCTACCTATGGATGCTTCTGTAGATCAGTGATCAAACTAAAGTCTCTGATAAAGTTGAGTTCTGGAAAAGACCATCAGTCTGCGTCTGAGACCCTTGGCTACAGCTTGCAGTAAACACTTGTGACTAAGGGAAATGGCTGCAGCCGCAAGCCAGAGGCTCTCATTGGCAATGTGTTATTGCAGCCGTAGCCAAGATTCTTCTGAATGCAGCCTTATTTTGAAATAAGGGGGTTAGTTACTCCGGGCATCGCCCGGCTTGGGACCAGCAAGCAGGCAAGGATGTACAGTACACCAAAGACCAAGTTCAGCTTGGCAGTCCGCTGGGGCAGTTTGTCCATCTCCCCCCTGCGGAAGTCCTTCTCCAGATTGAACGCCATGGGCAGAGTGAGGAAGGGCAGTAGGTACCTGAGTGAGAAATTCACGCCCATGATGGCAAACAGGATGTAGGGCACGAACATCAGGAGGGCGTAGAGGATGTAGGAGCCCGTCTTCCCCAGGCACATGGCGATGGTCACGATGCCGGCCTTGCGGTCCGACTCCATGTCCCTGGCGTTGTTGCTGTGCAGGATGGCCTCTGTATTCATGGCCAGGGGGACAGCGTATAACAGAGGGAAGAGCTCCAGGCTCCCACTCTGGGAGGTGTAGGCGAACATGACAGTCAGCGGTCCAAAGGTGAACATGATCACCAGGTCACCCAGGGCCAGGTACTTGAGCCCGATGCCACCAGTGTACAGGAAGGAACTGGACAGGCCGCCGAAGTACAGCAGCGCTATGTGCTCTAGTCTAGCTGGTGAGATATAATACAGCACCACGATGGCCAGGCACCCGACTATGTACAACGCTTGCCCAAATGTTGCCACATTGTCCGGCGTTAATATGCCGTCCACCAGTGTCCTATCGTCACTTTTCTTGCTGTCGATTCCTTTCAGGTAATCGTAGTAAGTGTTAACAAGGTTCCCTGCCCCGTGCACCGACAGGGCGGCCACCAGAGCGGCCAGGAAAACCACCAAATTGGAGGGGCTCAGGCCGGACTCGGTGGAGGACTTGAGAGCCAGCGCGGTGCCCAAGATCACAGGGTTGATGGAGGCGCTGAACGACCAGGGGCGGAGGGCGATCAGATAGGACCGGACTTGAGTCCTGACGCTGTGCTTGACAAGTGCTCGAACCTCTGGCTCTGGTACAGTTGTTATGCTCAGCGAAGAACCGTTGCTCATGTTCTTGTGGCTCTCCATTGTGGAGACCTAGGCCAAGATTGAGAAATTCTACAGCATAATGTACAAATAAGTGATGTACTGTACACTGTGCTTATAAGTCAAGTCCAACTGCCAGGAAAATTCATTGCAATGCACTGGAGACATTTGAATCACAGATCACACAGCACACCTTACTGCAACCGGTATGGTCCTTCCTTCCAATCCAAGCCAATCATTTAATGAAGTAGTAGATGGACACAAAAATAATCTTTGCTCAACAAAGTGAACATGTTCAAAATATTCATGTGTATGTATTTTGTATCTTTGCCACGTTTGGCACTGCGTGCTAACGTCCATCACGGTATAGTCGCCAGGTCCCTTATTTAATATTTCAACACTTACTTACAAACCAATCAGACTCGACAATAGGTCGCGAAAATAGGGACCTCGTGACTGTAACAGTATAAGGTCATAAACGTAAGGCCAACTGTCATGATTGTTACGATTTACAAAGTAGGCCTAGGCTAAGTCAGCACGTGTACTGATGTACTTTATTCATTGTACTTGCGTCAAATCTTGCATGATTTCACAGGCCTTAATATTAAATTTTACCCGAATAACCCAATTAACCTCAAATTTTTTACCTTATTATTTGATCCGGCCGAAATATTGCGAACAACACTGAACAGATTTTCAATGTTGATACCGACAGATGAACGTGAAACGCTGACAAATCTACCCGAACGGTATGTCATGTATGTAGCCAATGCATGAAGATGACTCCTTACGGACGTTATGGGTAGGCTACTGGACAAAAGACGACAATTACATTCTCTGAACGAGAGCAAACTGATGAAATCTACCCATGCTGTTACTATTTATACAATTTTCAAGAGCTAATAATAATTCCGCACGTCATGGCAATCGTGTGGGCATGGTGGGTCTGTCGGTCGAGTCGACGTAAACGGTCTATTGCCTCTGCGTAAAAAGGATCCGAACAAGGACGGGCATCATACCGCACGAGGGCAGTATGCATGTCGTGATCAAAATTAGACTTGCACAAGTTTAGCGAGGGTGATGGTTTTTTTTTAAACGTTTTATTGATTTTACGGGTTGCAATAATAGCCTCCTCACAAGTGAACAATGATCTAAATAAACGCAGTTAATTTGACTTTAATTTATTTGAAGCCTTTACACCTTTTCCCCCACATTGGCTTGTTTGTTGATTATACCTTGCCGGTTGATCCGTCGATATGTTTGTATGATTTTCCATCAACGGGTAATACAATCTTTTTTATTGTCCATAAAGTTGACAGACTTTCGGTCAATATGGTTGATGATGCAGTAGTGGGCAATTTGTGATCATACCGATTGGTGCAATCATAGACCCCAGGCAAAATACGGAAAGAACGTTTGCAAGAATTGTTCAGAGCTTCTTTTAAATCCCTTAATGATAAAGTTGAATTTATTACTTTTCCCTTATCACAAACGCCGCTTGCCTGATGGGAGAGTGGGGTCCTCCCAATTTCTGTGGGAAGCGCTAGGACATGTCTCAGGAAGGGTTTGCCTTCTCGCGCAACTCGCCCTAGGATCAATTCAACTAAACCTGATGCGTTTAGTACGTCCTAACTTCCTTGGCAACTCATCTTATATTGAGATGGGTCTGTGGGTCATCTTATCTCATTAATATGTGCAGCGATGTTAGATGAGTGTCTTCCATGAGTTATAAAATTAACAATTTCGAAAAGCAGAAAACAGGTCCCAAAAAAAAGACTTGAAAAGATTTGAGTTTTTCTGACAAAATGGATTGTTTTCAAAATTTAATGGAATGCAAACATCTAGGTCCTATTCTGCTCTTTTGATGGAAATCATGACTGCAAGCGTGCCTACAAATTTGTTCTATACACGCGTATGTACATGGCCAGAGCTAGGAAATTAGCCTTTTGCTTATCAAACTTGAATAAAATCTAGTACACTGAGTTCTTTGAATTTAAGCGAACACAGCAATTTGAATTCTCCAGACATTGTGGCTATACCTCGTGATTCGGGCAAGCTTTTGCTCAGTTACATAAGAGACGCCTTGCACCTTAACAGTTTTTTCAATGGATAAGAAGGGCGCAAAGGAACCTGTCCATTCCAGCGATGGTGGCCGCTATACAAAAGGTTGCCCGAATCGCGAGGTGTAGCAACAGTGTCTTTAGTCTGGGGAATTCAAATTGTTATGTTAATGTGCAGTCAAATATTAAAATCAGTGTACTAGATTTCATTCTAACATAATTCGCAAAAGGCTTATTGGCTTTAGTATATTCTTTTGAATATTGTTTTGTCAAGCCATAAAAAACATGAAACGGCTATTTAATGCGTCTTCCTCAGGATGGGTTTTAGTAAAGCTGATCTTAGAACAAGCTAAGATCAATCTTGAGTTGCAGGACGAGACGAGTTTCGTGAACAAGTTTAAATTTTACACAACCCAGTTATGAAGCAAATTCTCCTCAAGTGAACCTTCACGCAACTAACCCCGCTAGAAGTGACATAAGAAGTTTAAAGATTTCTTTCATGGGTGCTGATGAGGGTATATCCAGCAAGAGATTGGACCGAGGGGTACCCCCCCAAAAAAAACTTGTCCAATCGCTATACATCCCCTAGATGTCCGAAAAGAATTCCTCAGATTTCAGTGAAACAATGACCAACACAATGCAGGGGAGGTTCTCTCCTTCTCATATCTTGCTTCGTATGGTTGAGGGTCTCCACTATAAAACATTGACCAAGCTCTGACGGCAGCCTCATTGTTTTCCTTTTTTTAAGTCTATCTAAATGAAGTAGGACTCTAGGAGTAATATTAAAGTTCTAGCAAATGAAGATGGGAACAATGAAAGTCGGGTGAAACTTTAAGCATGCATAGCCATAACCTACAATAGGAAATCTAAGAATTTAAATTAATTTGACATTAGACTCGGGCAAAAATCATCAGAAGTTCTGATTCACCTTAAACACAACCACTTAACACTAACACCAACACTGACTGCCATGCTCATTATTCCACCATCCACCAGGGGCACGGTACTGCAATTAGCCTAAGGCAAATGAAACATTCATGCTTAGAAATTCTTTAGTAAATGTGTACAAGTAGTAAGTGCTAAACTACATCCACTGAGTTTGTGTTCCCGCCACTTCAATGTACTTGTGATTGTTACACTGATGATATCACGCTGTATGCCTGCTTTGAAGTATCCTAAGTAAGCTTGGAAACAATAAAATGCTAAGAATTTTGACAAATCACTTTCGCAATAAAACATGTACCTGGGTTCTTCAACTGACCTAGCTGCCTGTTCTCATTTTTGTTGCAAACGATGATTGTTTAAATGTTTCCATCCAAGGGATCGCCATTTGTGTCGGGGGCCGTGGGTTTTGAACAGTCTATTTAATTTGGGGGGGGGCCTGTGCACACGAAGCGTCTGTCCACGCACTGAGTTTCATCATTCTCGCCGGTTTACCTACTGCTATTTTGATAATATTCCTTAAAAAACGTTTTATTTGTAAGTTTTATAGTTCTTTCTTAAATCATTACCTTTTACTTCAACTATGATTGTCTTTATTTGGCCTCTGGGCCACAATGGAAGAGAAATCTTTGAATAAATAAAACCAAGAGACAAACAAGCAAAGTTACAAGACGATGATTTCACTCAAACTCGCTGAGAGTGTCATCCTGAAGGACTTGAACAAGTCTGATTTCGTATTCAACAGCGCCCTCCTGCGGTATGAGACTCCTTTTTCTTCAGATCCATTTAAGTAGAGGACGATCGACCTGTGGCGATTGAGTAATCATTAGCCTAACAGCCTTCTGTATCTTTCCCAACTCAAGATCCTGCCCATCTGAAGTTGGGCGCGTATTATATTGCTCCAGTCCTACCTGAAATTGGGCAAAAAAGCTTCCCGGAGCCGGAGAATGATCGACTTTTATGCGTCTCTTTTTCCCCCCGCAGGAAAACTAATAACTTTCATTAGTAGTTTTAGAAAAGATCTGAAAAATCAAAGCTTTGATTTTTCAGATCTAGTTATGTAAGGTAAAAAAGTTTCCGATTCAATGACGGGCAGAAGCCCAAGTTGGTGGCCCACCCCTCTGTGGCAAAACCTGCAGGGGGGGGTAGTGTTGTCTGTGAATGGTCCCACATCTTTTAAAATTATGGAAAGCTGGAAGGGTCACAGTCCTCTGTCTTCCTATTGGAGCCAATCTAAGGGTTCTACACCAAACTTGAAAGGAAGTCTGAGTCGCCTATTATCGCCCGCCATGGTTTACGGTTTATACATTTGAGGATATGCTGTTGGCGGCTGCATTTTAGAATGAAATCTCTCACAAATTTGAATAGCAAAAAATAATGGAAACAGCCTGTGGAGTCTGACCCAGTCATCATTTGACAGTTGAGTAGCCCAACTTGAAGTTCAAGACCAACCCGGTCATACTTCAGATGGGTAGAAAAGTCAAACTGGGCGGAGACATGCTGGTTCTGTTTTTGCAAATAACCGGTAATACAGTTTTCGATGTGAAATGAATCACCTTTTGCAGGGCACCAGCACAATAGCCTTTTGTTTACTTTTGGCAGATGAACATTCTCTACGCCATCCATAAGTATATTAAAACGCCAGATAATATTGAAAAAATATTCATGGTATCTTTAACATTCTGTCTAAAATTTAAATCTTAAATACTGGTCTCTTGGTCAACAGTGAAGAAAATATAATTTTTCAACTATCAATGTTTGAAAGAGGATACATGAAATATGGCGACTTCCAGAGACTAAGTTCTGTTGGTTTTGTCATGTTTGTTGCTTGTTTTCTGAAGCTTGTTTGCTTTAAAGTGTTAATTTCGTGAAGTGATGTATCAGAATTAGCATCTTGGCTTCAGTACGTGAGAAAGTATTTTATTTGTTCTTTGCAATAAACATAATATAACTTCGTTGAGCTTTCAAATGCATTCAGTAGAGACGCAGTGGGGGGGGGTTGGCATGTTTTGTGGGCGGGGCCGGAGACAAACTTGCTCCCTGAGTCCTTGGTTATGATGTCCTACTCTAGCATGTGTTAGGTCTCAACTATCGTCTTGTGTTGCGTAGAGTCTTTGAACTTCTTACTTGACGTTTATTAGTCTAAAAATAGCTTTGTAAAAAGTGGTGGAATGTTCTGAAATCATACTGATACTTGTTTGTTATGCTTGTGAGTTGTGGGGGATGTTGATTGAAATTTGAATGTGAAATTCTGGACAAAGGTTGGAAAGCATTTCATATCTGTCTCACTGTTTTTTAATGCAAAAATGTAAAATAGGTCTACCCAACTTAAAACCTGTTAGGCATTGTAGGGACTAGCCCCACTAGTGTGGCACGGACTCTCACTCCCGATCCATCCTTAGCCACACATCTGTATACGCAAGTTCGTGTCGGGGTACTGAACATTTTCGGCGCACTCATTTATCATCGTGGACGCAATTTCTTGTGCATGCGAACATGACCCTAGACCTTTCCGCTTTTTAAAACCATTTACTCACTGTCACAGTCGCCATCTTTAAAATCAGGTCGTTGAACATACATCACTTGACCCCTAATTTTCTTGACGGCTGTTCCATGTCAAGACATCTAAACTGCTGCCAAAGTTTTGGAAGACCCCATTAGTGCATGTAGTATCTTATCGCTCAGTCCGTGTATTACATATGTAATACATGGAACAGCCGATTAGGGGTCAAGTGACGTAATGTTCAACGAACTTATTCCAAAGATGGCGACTGTTAGAACGAGCCCGTTAGATTGAATGGATAAAGGCAAAAAGACTGGAAAATACCTGAATAACATGAGTCAAATCATTCAATAGATGGTTTTTAGAAAGCGGAAAGGTCAAGGATCATGTTCGTGTGTACAAGAAATTGCGGCCACGATGATAAGTGGGTGCGCCGAAATGTTCAATACGCCAACATGAATTTGCATATACGGATGTGTGGCTAAGGATGGATCGGGAGTGAGAGTCCGTGCCACACTAGTGGGGCTAGGTAGGGACCAGCTTAAGGCATGACTATGACAGGTCAGATATTTTACCATGTCTTGTGAGTAAATATTGAAGAAATTGATATCGGAACACCGTATTCCTTCCCATTACGCATTTCATTCATTGCAAAATAAATATTTCGAAGAGATGCAGAAATGTGTGTTATTTGGTTAGAATAGCTAGATTTATTTATGGACCTGACGTTGGTGGCGCTATTCCCGATATGCAATTTTTGAGTTATTGTGTGACTCTCATTTTTACCTTGATAATACCATAGGGGTACTCCTATGAAGACTGAAAATGTGATTATCTACGTACCTTAATTAACTTTGGAAACTTTGAATCTGCTGTAAAATTTTTTGCCAAAAATATTTATTCAACCCACAAAATGACACGGCAACATTCACAGAAATCCCAATTTCAGACAAATATGACTGATTACTCTTACATGTACCTTGATTTTATTTGTTCATCTTACCTGTGGTTCATGTTGGATTATATTTGCATTAAAGAAGAAAACTGAAACGTGGTGGTTATTGTTACTAATTAGGCCTTTTGGAAGAAATTCTGGTTAACACCCCCCCTTCCAGTTTCACACTGTATACGAGTTACAGATATTCAAAATTGTATATTATTTCCCATTGCAATTTATATCTTCATCTAAAGATGCCAAACGGGTCACAACTATTTGGCCTATTATGCATAGTATGTATATACTTTGGTGCACGTTTATTTTATCATAACTTCCGTTCTAGTAGCCTTATAGAGGTGGGAGACCTGCCTATCATTTGAATGAAAATTTGTAGCCTTTTAAGAAGACATCATAAAAGAATAATTGGAGCATTGTGAAACTTCCATGAAACTAGCTAGTGAAAATGTGTACTCGTTTCTTCTGGACAGGAGTCAGGATGATTGACCTGTTTGTCAGCGGTCTGAAGAGCCGGAGCGAGGAGAAGCGGACGAGGACGGCCAAGGCGCTGCAGCACTATGTCACCACCGAGCTGCGGGAGGTGTCACAGGACGAGAGGACGTCCTTCATGGACGAGCTGAACCACCACATCTTTGAGCTGGTGTCCAGTCAGGACGTGAACGAGAAGAAGGGTGGCATCATGGCCATTGGTGAGGGGTCAGGGCCGAATTTTCGGCACAGGCACTTTGGCATGGGCCCTGTGAATGATTCACGGCATTAGAATGGAAAGTCATAGGATGTGAAAACAGAGAGTGGCAGTTGAGACAGACTTGAGTGAATATTGTAGTACTGAGTGAAAATAATATTTTCCAACAGTTACGGTCTGCTATCTTGTATTTCTCTTGCCATTGACCCAATGGTTTCTGGTAATCTGGTTTTGCAATTTTATGGACCATCTTGAATGTGTGCCCAGTTACTCCTTTGATGTCACGAATGTTTTGATTAGGAGTCCAGAGAACACCCCTCGGAGTGAGAATCAAGTTGACAAGGATTTATCTCCTGCTTTGGTTTATAATGCGTTTTCTTTTTAGTGAGCCTGATCAGCATCGACAGCGACAATGCCACCCGCATCACCCGCTTCGCCAACTACCTGCGCACCCTGCTGCCGTCCGGCGACGTGGCGGTCATGGAGATGGCGGCCAAGGCCATCGGCCGGCTGGCCATGGCCGGCGGGACCTTCACGCCTGAGTATGTGGAGTTTGAGGTCCGGCGAGCACTGGAGTGGCTGGGCGGAGACCGGAATGAAGGGCGTAGACACGCTGCGGTGAGTGTTGGTGCTTTCTTTTATTTACCCTACATTCCTTGACATGTTTACCACAAACCTTCCTACTGTTACTTCTGCTGTAATTGACAATCACACGGGTCATAGTGACCTCTATCCTCCACGGTCAAAGGCAAAAGACCAGCACTCATTTGGTGTCAGCTTCACACTATCTGCGACGTGCGTATGTCAGGTAAGCCGGATATGACCGCAAGGCCTTGTACTGGTGGCAGGTCGTTGCCCGAGGCGGAACTGGAGAGCAGCATCAATGGCAACACGAGCCGAGGTGGGGCTTTGAGGCACTGAACATGACCAATCGTCTGTTTTCCTTTACTCCAGGTGCTTGTACTGCGAGAACTCGCGGAGAACACCCCGACGTTTTTCTTCCAGCAAGTCCAGAGCTTCTTTGACCACATCTTCAATGCAATCAGAGATCCAAAGGTAGGCGCAACACCATCAAGAAATAAATCAATAACCAGGTGAAATCCCCTGGAAAGAACTCACGGTCTGCTCGGCACAGGAGTTTCATAGTTGGGTGCGTCTGGTCTGACTGAATTCCGCCAAGGAGGCTTTATAGGCCCGAATGGAATACAAGTTACGTACTCGGCAGGATACCACCCCTGAAAAGAACATTTTTCTTCTTGACCTGCAAAAGTGGACTGGTTAAAAAAAATCCCCTCAAGACTCAGTGAATTTAAAATCTCAGTAAGTGTCAAATTTTGCCAAAGAAACCTCGTGGTCTGCGCTGGACAGGAATTTCATAGTTGGGGGCATTTGGTTTCTGCAAATTCCAAATGAGGCTTCACGGATCAGCATGAGAGAGCAAGCCATGCTTCAACAGCCCTTGGTCAATACAAATTATTGGAAGATAAAACTGATAACTTCTCTGTTTTTAAAATGTGAAACTGAGTGTAACAAAGCAGAAACCGACCCGACAAAGGTCATCATTCCTCTTCACATGCAAGATCTAACTGATTGAAGAAGTACCTTAAGACTCAGTGTACTGAAACCCGTCACACAATCACCCATGCCCTTTTTTAATGCTCAAATTGTTTACTTTTTCCCCCCTCCAATATTTCCGACAGCAAGCGATTCGCGAGGCAGCCGTAGCCGCCCTGAGGGCCTGCCTGGAGCTGACCTCACAGCGCGAGACCAAGGAAATGCAGAAGCCGCAGTGGTACAAGGTCAGGGATGCAACTGAGGCCATTTCAAAGTCACAAATAAAACTACCACATTGACCCATTAGTTCCCCGGACTACCCCAAAACTGCCTCAAGCATCACTCCCCACAAACTGCCCCAGCACTGTTAAAACCTTTATCATGATGCTACCATGTTTGTTTGTTTCCCTGTAGACCCATTGGCAATAGTAGTACATCTTCACATATGGATGAAAGGGAACAGACTATTTTTCCTTCCAGCCTCACTTTGGTTACATTGCTTTGAATGGTAGAAAAGCAAGATGGCTGCCCCATGACAGAGGTCCATGGTTGGTTATTATGGATTCACCAAAGAATAAGTACAGTGCAGTTTTATGTAATACAAGTGCTGATGGGCGAACAACGAGAAGTATAGCATTACACACAGTCATGTACAGCTTGTTCTTTGAACTTTTTGGTCAAGTTCGGGCGGCCTGTTCGCGCTCAAATGGCGGGAACATGACTCAAGATCACTGTTCTCGAAACAGGATCGCACACCACCTCTTCGTCAGGATTTTACAAGAACACAAGGAACAAATCGTGAGATTCTGATTTTTGAACAACTGCAAAAAGTAGAGAGATGGCTTCCAAAGCCACAGACGATGGGAAGTTTTGCAAAATTAACATTGATTATTTTCCATAACACAGAAACGAATGTTCCTGTTTAAATAGAAAAGAAATCAGCCCAGTTATCCAAATATTAACTCTCGAATAACGTACATGGCTGCCGCCATTTTGCAGTTGCTTGCCATTCACTGCCAGCAGCAATAACCGGTTGTGTGTTCCCGGCGTTTGAGCGGCCGACCCATGAACAACAAATTGAGCTGTCCGTGAACATAAGAGAACAAGCCGCGCAATCTCAAAACTTTGCTGCCGGTCTTTTATCTTTAGCAAACTTACGAAGAAGCCGAGAAGGGATTTGAGGAAGTGACCACCAAGGAGAAAGGGCTGAATCGCGATGACCGCGTCCACGGCTCGCTGCTTATCGTCAACGAGCTCATCCGGAACAGCAGCATGGAAGGAGAGGTAGGTGGCCAACAGAAATGTTTGCTCTGAAGTAGTGATGCAGAAGCCCTTAACATCTGAAGGACAATTGTGGAAAAATCAGCATTGTATAGCAGGCACGCCAAAAGTGGCACGTGGGAAAAATGAAGTTGATTATGGAATTTATTTGCTGTGTATGAGTGTATACATGCTTTGTATGTTGTCAGAAATTTCCCTGAAAAAAATACCAATTGGTCTCCGACATCTCAAGTATTAGGATTTTTTAATTGGCCTAGATGTTGGTACATCATTGGACTCGATGTTAAAATCTGATTCTGATCCTTGCCGAACCCAACAACGGGCAACCAGTGCAGAATATTTAACCGACCCCCTCAAAATGAGTCTTCAAGCCATTTTTTCCTGATAATGTTGTTTCAGTTGCATCAGCAAATGCACACAGAGCTCTTTGTTTTTGAGGTATCACTCAGTCAATCGCACCCTGCTGAAAATGGTCAATGTATGGGTGAAAACTACCGACGCTTCCCTAGTGATTTCCAATGGGCAAAGTTTTTTTCAACGCCTCCAACTCCAAAGTGGCCCTAGCGACTTTCAGCTTATTTTGTCAGAGAAATAATGGACCTTGTCCGATTGGGGCTTTCCACAGCACCTGTGGCATGACTACCCATTCCAAGAAAGGCAGGAGTACTAGTCCTACTGAACAGTTCCACTGTTGGATCTTGCGATGGCTGGCTGGCTGGCTGGCTAGGACTCTAGCCTCGGAATACTTGATCTCTTTAGTCTTACTATAGCAGGCATGTCGTTGCGTTCAGCAGCACGTCTAGTCTAAAATAAAGTGATCTAGTCAGTGTGAGGTGCAAAGACGGCTAACCCAATCATATCATGTATGCTGCTTTATTTCTTGCCGCATTTCTGTATGAACCACAGTCCCGTGCATGCATTGTGCCTCAAGTGTTCTAAAACGTTGCCGTGTCCAAAGTGGAATGATTGTGTGGGCATGAAGTGTGTATCACTGTTCCCTACACCACCTGATTTTCTCTCCATGTCATTTGATATGCCCTGATATCCACGGCATTCCTTGAAATTGGCATGAAATATGACTAGAGATCTGAGAGTTCACCTTCGCATGATATGTTCTCCAGAAAGCTAGTTAAAATTTATTCGCCCTTGTATTATTTAAGCCTGTTTTCCCAAAAAGGAGCTCTGACCAGACCTGACACATAGACGGACGTGTTTTCCGTCCCCCCCCCCCCCCCCCAGTTTTGGCATAGAATACTTCAAGCCTGTTGATTTTGTCACGTGTACATGTATTTAAACTTGCAGCGTCTGCGACGAGAAATGGAGGATGTTTCTCAGGAACAATCTCAGCACGAGCACAGCTTCAAGGTATACTCATCACTGCAGAGGGGCAAAAATTGGGGGGATTTTTCTGTAAGGGGGACTTACGAATTTGAGAGGCTGTGCCTTGCCTATCTCAGTGCTGTGATGAGAGTAGACTTGCTTCTCGTGGGCTGGTGATTTGCTGGAGGCTTTGCATGTTGGGGGACTGACTAGCTGACTGGCTGGCCCCCTGGTTGGCTAGGTAAATGACTGGCTGGCCCCCTGGCTGTCTAGCTGAATGGCTGGCTGCCTGGCTCGCTGTCTGGCTTGCCAGCTGTCATGTTGGGAGGCTGGCTTGGTGACTGGCTAGCAAGCTGGCTAGTTTAGCTGGTTGGCAGGCTAGCTAGTTAGCTAGTTGGCAGGCAGGTCGGTTAGCCGGCTGGCAAGCTGGTTGGTTACCTGGCCAGCTGGCTGACTGGAGAGCATGATGGCTGGTTAGCTGGTTGGGAGGCTGGCTAGTTAGCTGGTAGGTAGGCTGGCTGGTTAGCAGGGTGGCCGGCTGGCTGGCTGGTTATTTTAGTTAGCTGGTCAACTGGCTGGTTGTTTTATCTGGCTGGCAAGCTGGCCAATTACCTAGCCGGCAGGCTGACTGGTGAGCAAAGCAGCTGACTGACTGGCACCCCAGTTGCCCAGTCAGTGGGCTGGCTGGCCGGTTGGTCAAAGGACTAGTCCAATTGCACACTATCAACAAGTCTGAATCATGAACAAAATGATAGTACAGAAGTGAAGATACCACAAAGCAGTAACTCCACCACACCGCTTGATTACTTTGCGCTCAGTGTGCTAAAAGCATGTACTATGCTAATGTTTCTGTTGTCAAGATTCAAAAATATTGCATGAGAAAGGTGCTGTAAAGTCTTTGTAAGAATCAATCTCTTTCTGTCGCTTACAAGTATCTGATTTTCCTCTGAATTTTCGTTAACACAACCTTGCTGATTAATTTACCATGAAGCTGCTGCCCCACACTAAACAGTGTCATGTACTAATTCATATCTACCGTTTACCGGTAGAGAGGATAAATACAAGTAAATACTGAGTTTGCCTTCCAGAAAGTCCCATGTGGCATCTATAGCGTGATTTGAATAATGTGCGTGTCTGCGTGCAGTGTTTGAAAATTCTATTGACCCGAATGGCATGTGCATGGCGGACGAAACACTAAAATGCTAACAGCGTGCAGGGAATGAATCTCACAGATGTGCATCTCGGGAGATCTTGTCACTCTCAAAACTAAAACACTCCCCCCCCTTCCTAACTTTTTCGCATGAAGTGTAAACGCCCCTCACTGTTTGGAATAGCAACTATCGGTGCATTCTGTCCTGAGAATGTTGGTTGTTGTGTTTTTTTTTTTGGTATGTCAATACCCTCTACCCCATTTTGATACCTTTCTGGTCTGGTTTCACAGCATTCGACACCGGAGCACTGGTACCGTCGTAATCGCAATCGTTTCCTGCGATTGCCCAAGGTAGTAAAGGCCGCTGTAAAAGGGGGCGATCCCAAATCGGTTTGGAGTGTCTGACATTGTACTCACACTCATTTACGTTTTGCACCTGCTGATATATAGGACTGGCTGTCTTAACTAGTTTTTTGGTTTTTTTTCCCACTCACCACGATTACCCATTTTCAGCGCTTTGCCCATTTTTATGTTTTACACCCAATCATTTAAGGATTTGGATTTTGCTAAATTGTGGAAATTTAGACAATCACCGCTTCATTTGTTTTTCTGTTTTTGTCTTTTTTTTTCAATGGTTTGCTGACAATTTAATTATCCGGTTGTATCAAAGATTGTTTCTTTGATTCATCTCAAGCCATGATATGCAAAGTTTACTTTATTCCTCAAATACTCCAACAGTTATCATCATATTACTTTTTTTGAAAAAAAAAACCTTTCCAAGATTTCCTAAAAAACCCCAACTGCGTGCTGCCATACGTCCCCACTGTTTTTTTTTGTTCCCTTTTGCTGAGTTTAGCTTCATTTGCTCTTCATTTGCCATTTCCTTCTCTCGGTTAAACCCCATCTTTCTGTTTTTTGCCACCGCAACTACCCCCAGGTTCACAAATCTTTCAGCCGAGTGGATAATATTTCTGTTTGGCAGGTATCATGAATTGGTCATAGGGCAACCCACGGCAAAAAGGGGAGAAATCACTGGTCAGCCGCAGATACCACAAACCCACGACAGAGCAACCAGCTCTTTCGTGTCGGGGGGCATGCGCATGCCCGGTATCCTATCAATTCCTCAATGCTAATGGATGATATAGCGGTGGTTGGGCACCAGTGAAGTAGCCAAATCCAATTTCCATGGTCAGGTGCACCACCAATCACAGCTGTTAGCCTGTGTCAAATGCGGCCTTAGTGCGCTACACAATCATCTAGATTGTGACACCGTATAGTTAGCACACCCCACACCCGTTATCCCCTGCACACTGCAGGCAATGATTATACTTTTTACACGTAACTGGAGACATTTCTGACAGCGTTTAACAGTAGTCTGTTGAAAAAATAGAAGCATATTCGTGCATGCCGTAGTGTTAGAGGCAAGTGTCTGCTTTGCACTGTCTGCCTAATACTGATCTGCTGTGGAGAAACTCAGTCACGTGCGTGATATTGTGTGTTTGTTTGATGGCTCCGTTTCCCATCAAGTGTGCATTTCTTGTCAGAAGTCTTAGTCATGGCGTACCGCTGCAGCTCAGGCTCATCACGCAGCTTGCCTGGAGTGCTCCACTTTTCTTTTGTGTTTGTTGGTTTTGTTCTGTTCTCTGTGGATTGCATGAGCAGTATGGCCCCCCGCATTGCATGATGATGTTGTTTTTCGATTGTCACGTAGTGAAAAGTGCATGCCGACTTGTGGAATGCCAAGTGCCCTCACCTCATTCTGTTTTAATAGTGTGGTGATGTGGCGCCCTCTTTAGCTCATGCTTGGTGACAATGCTTGCACATTTTGATGTTCTTGCTTCCGGCAAGATGACTCGTACAAGCAGCAGCCGTGTCTAAATCAAGGGGCTACGACTTGGAGTGATGCACATCTCCATGTATGGGAAATGACATCAGCCTCTAGCTAGAGGCTACCATAGATGTGCATGTCACACTTAGCCACAGCCATGCAATTTGGACATGGCATAAACTCCATGAAAAAAAAAACCTCTCTGAATCAGAAATTTTTCAAAGCGTCAAAGTTCACGTCACTCTTTTTGGAGTAGTGCTGTACTGTGCAAACGTTTCACCTTTGTAGTGCTCTGCAAGAAACTAATGAAAACTTTCTCCGAAGATGAAGTGATGTCGTTTTAACAAATTCCCCCCCTCATTTTCTCAGTCTGCTGTATTAAAGACTGCATCTCTCTGGAAATGCAATCCATTTTTGACTACCAAATGATGACTTTAGAACCATTACTGTTTTAATATCTGTTCTTAGTAAAGGTAAGCTTTGCTTCGCTAACGTTTGTTGCCGATCATGTTTGATCATGCTGTTGCCGTCTCATTGCTTTTTGACGCTGACACACATGTATCCGTGCTTTTTTTCTTGTTTTTTTTTCCCATTAACGATGCTTCCAGATTGCTGTCACCATTTTTTCCTGGTCGTGCTGTTTTCACAGGATTTGGATTTCCCACTTTTCATACTTCAGCCCAGATAGTTCAGCAGAGTAATAGTGACATCTATAGTTTAGAAAGGATTGACCAGAGGTTGATTGTGGGTGTGACCTCACAGCGCTTGATAGGAAACATGCACGTCTGTAGCCATTGTCTCAACCCACCCAACCTTCAACCAATCCTTTCTAAAAAAAAAATGGTAGCATCGTCCTTATCCTTAGAGTTGAAGAAATAACTTGGTCGTGCCTTTTCCCCTCAACATGGGTAATCACTTCATTTAATGGTGACCTCCTTTGAAGCATCCAGCTAAATCCAACAAAATCTTAAATACTGCATATTCAAATAAAACAAGGTTTTGTTGGTTTCAGCAGGGTTGGCAACACCTCGAGGCCTAAGGGACCCATTTTATGGAGTTGCCGGGCAGAAAGTGTTGTTCAAAGCCAAAATCAAAAGAGACCAGTCCAACGCACTATATATACTGGAAGCATGTTTTTGGCTGGTTTCCCGCATTTGCTCAAAAGTTGAGCATTGAACAGATATCTGAAGCTGACCCCTGCTCCAGTGTTCAACCTCAAGAAGGTTGATCACTTGGGTGAATCGTTGAATATTTGTTCCCAGTGCATGCAGGGAAGTTACAGACTGAAAGATTTCAGGTGGGCCAAACCCTACAGATATTTGTTGTGATAAACATTGGGAAAACTTTGTTCCAAAAATGGTGCAGAAAGCTTTGCAGAAAGGTGCAGAAAGCTTTGCAGAAAAGACTTTGGAGAGACACCAGGCCAAAGACCTCTTTGGCGGTTTCAATGCCAGCTCCTCTTCCCCTTCCTACCACTTTTTTTAATTGTTCTCTTGCCTGAAGCTCTGGCTGGGGACTGCTCCATTTGGAGTAGTCATGGAACTTACGCTGTAACGCCCTCGATTTTGACAAGTTACGACTAACCTCAGCAGTCCTGATCCAAAACCTCAATCACTCACTTGACACCTGTTGTGTGTGTATTCTTCCCCGCTCTCCTGATCACCGTCCCCTCTCCTCCCCAATGCTTCCCCATCTGAAGGAGTTCCAGAGCTCCAGCGTCAAGTCCCGCTTCCAGCTCCTGTCGGCCGGCATGGGCGGCCACGCCCTGCAGTCCTCCCAGCGCTCCTCGGTGACCAGCGCCATCTCCTCCCTGGTCTCGCCCGGCCTGCAGGGTAAGCCCCGCTTCGTGGAGAGCCGCTTCTGCCGGGAGCTCATGGAGACCAAATTCGATGAGGTACGTGGAGCGAGACCCGTCCTCGTGTTCGTGTAGGGACCCAAGCAACCATTGGTGATGGCATTTTTGTGCAAAATCCGTCAGTCCGTCAATCCGTTTGTTTGTTTGTTCGTTCATTCAATTCCAAAATTTTAAAAACTGAAAGTTATAGCCACTCGTCTATTTTCATTTAAGGCAGCTATCTTTGGAAGACTGATATTTAGTAAATTTCACATCCAAAGATTCTCTTACAAAATTATTCCCAGCGGACCATCACTGAAATTTTGCGAATTTGTATAATTTTAGAAATGGACAATAGCAGTGCCTCTTATCAAAGTTAATCTGTTTGACTTTAACACCTGTATCCCTTCATAATTTACAATGTTTGGATAAGGAGTAAGTCCTGAATGAAAAGATAAGATTGGTGTGAATAGTCTGTCGGGGTCTTGTGACGGTTCACTGTCTCAACTATTTTGTAACTTTGCATATGAAATCCGGCCTAATTGTGTGTCTGGGTCTTTCTAGGTTTGTCAACAGGTCCTGAAGTACAGGAATAGCCGTAGTCCCCTCATACAGCAGACACTGTTGACTCTCATCCCCAGGTTGGCGGCTTTCCAACCCACAAGATTTGTCAGTCGGTAAGTTACCTTCCAACCCACTAGATTTGTCAGTCAGTGAGTCGTGTGTCCAGTGCCTCGCCCCTCCCCCCCAAAAAAAAGCCCAAAATGCGGCTTCTGTTGAAGCCCTACAAAAGATTTGAAGTTGGATTTCGCCTGAAAAGCACGGAAGAAACAAAATGAAGGTTGTACTCAAAATTCCTAGTGATACCAAGATTTTAAATGATGGTGAAAGCAACTTCACACTGTGTTGTGGTAATCGTGCCAAGAGATTTGCGGTAGGCTTTATTCTGTTTCGCAAGGTTCCCTCCTCTCGCGAGCTTGCATGGAGATGCGTGACTGGTGCAGGCCAGTTCTGCCTTTGGAACTGGTATGGTTCCTTTCTGTGGCTGCTTCAGACGGCATCCACATTAAATGGATGGCTGTTGGGTTTCCAGACTTCACAGAAGAGGACCCTGAAGCAGTTGTCCAGGGTTATTGTTAGAAACTAATCCACTTTATCACAAAGAACATTTTGAAATTCTGTTTGCCCCAGGTACTTGGATGATTCTGTCCAGCATCTCCTCAACAGCCTGAGGAAGGTAAGTCAAATTCCAACTAGAACATGTTGAGGTAACTGGGTGGAGATCGGGGGGGGTATATTTATCTCCCCCCCCCACTTTTTGACTTGGGGGATACCGATATTATCACACCTTTCCCCAGCTTTTCAAGTCACTGACTTATTTTGCACCCGTAGCCTGCACCACCGACTATGCACTTGCTGGCGTCACGATCTCACCTTGGATGGAGGCCGTGCTGAGTTTTCAGAAATCCCCCCCCCCCATAATGTGACAAGAAATCTCTGCCCGTGCATTGTTCACTCTGAGCACAGCCTGGGCAGCTTTACTTGCTTCCTGCAGATGCGAGTTTGACATTCTGAAGCACTCAAAGTGAAATGCTACACAGTTGGAATGTTTTCAACATTACAGTCATTTGCAAAAGTTTAGGACCACCCATACAAAATGCATTAACCTGATGAAAAACCAAACTTAAACCAATCAAACGTGGCCTCTTCTCTCCAATATCAATTCTTTTACATTGAAAATACTTCGCCAGTAACTTTACAGTCTTAACTTGTAAGTCTGTTGTCGAGTCTATCATGAGTCCATCACAAGCTATGCAGTCCTAAGCCAAGTCACAGCCTCGTCAAAATGATCTGCGACAACGGCTTTCCTGTGTCTTCGTCCACCCTTGCTACTCGTGACTGTTCTTATGACTGGATCTGTGAAAGGGCTTGTGACTGGACTTGTGGGTGGCTCAACTACAGCCCTGCTTTTGAGTGAGAGCCTTTCATCCCTGTCGCATCCTTAAGTCTATATCCATGCAGTCTGATGTGATTTGTCAACTTTGTCTCGGCTGCCCCCAGGAGAGAGAGCGCTCCAGCGCCTTCCAGGCCGTGGGCCTGCTCTCTGTTGCCGTCAAGCATGAGATCACGCCCCACCTGCAGAACATCCTGGTCATCGTCAGGGCCTCCCTCCCGCACAAGGACTACCACAGCAAGTGAGTGTCGCCCCCCTTTGAAAGTGATCAACCTTTTCATGTATTTTTATTTTTACAAAATGTCTAGACAGGTTTTGAGGTGGCTTCTTCGATCAGTTTGTCACAAATGCACACCAATCGGGGAGGTGGGTCAGCACACAGGTTATTTTCCTGGCTTTCCACCCTCGCAGCTTTGGGTTTGAATCTCACCCAGGCGGACATGCAGATTGATGTTTTAGTCCCTACCTGATTTGATGGGTTTTTCTCTCAGAACAATCCGAAGCTCTCCTTCCACTTCTTAATCATAAAACAGAACATGTATTCTGGTTTTTTTTTTTTTGGCTCCGGGTTCGTTTCTGACTGATTTCATGTTGGGTTTTCCTGAAAGTATTCTGGGGTTTTTCCTCCCACCTCTGAAAGCATCGTTGGTTGTCTTCACTTCCAGGGCGCCCAGGGAGAACAGCGCACTGGTATCTGACAGGGCGGCCCCTGATGAATAAAATCGATCAATTCCCTCCCCCTCTCTCTCTCTTACAGGAAGAGCAAGCAAACCCCTGTAGATCCTTCCGTCTTCACCTGCATCAGCATGCTGGCCAGGGCCGTGGGCAGCAACATCTACGGCGACGTCAAGGACCTCCTGGAGCCCATGCTGGCAGTGGGTCTCAGGTACGAAGTAAAAACCCGCTGATGGAATTCGGTGTCACGAGGGAGAAGTAAAATCTAGTAATGAGATGTCGGAGTTGAAATCATTTCATAAGGAGTGTTCACTCAATGCTGTCTGAGAGTTTGTGCAGGAGAAAAATCTCAGGTTTTGTCTCGGACAAGACTGATATGTGCTCTGTAGGTTTAAACTAATTTCAGGCTTCGGTAAATGCTTTCCAGAAGTACATTTCCTAATACCAAGTGTGCTTTGCACCTGAGTGCATTCTCAGTTTGGACTGTATATTTCTATGCAAACCTCAAAACATTCAACCACTCCTCCCATATGTTGTAGTCAAGCACCTTGCAAGTACTTTGTAAGTTACAATTTCTTTACAAGTTCTTGCAGGTCCTCACAAATGAATGTGTATTGTAAATACCGCTGTCTCAGAGCCACGTGCTGTTGAAACAAACTCTAACAAAGTCAAAGCCTTGTTGAAGCCTTTTTGTTACTCACTGTTAAGTTGTGAAAGTACAAGTGCTACCGAATCTTGCGGAAGGAGTCCAAAGGCCATCTTTCCAGTCTGTTCTCAGGTGTGGATCAGAAAGAGCAAACTGAACTTTTTTGCTTTGATGTTTCTCTTTGCCTGTCATCCTGAGGACAAATGGACCCCATTGGTGAAAATGCCGTGGACTTCAGTTGATTTCAAGTGTGCAAGATTCTTTTCCAGGCCTTTTAACTCTGAAGTGGCCCGATCCCCTTGCGACTCTTCTTTTTTAGGCTGGGTCGTGAGTGAAACTTGTCGAAGATACTTGTGGAGAACACGACCTCGACTCAGTTCCCCCCCTCCCATCAGTTCTCAACCCTGGGACATTCTCTCTGCTCTCTTTCCAGCCCGGCGCTGACTGCCTCCCTCCACGACCTGGCTCAGCAGATTCCTCGCCTCAAGAAAGACATCCAGGACGGCCTTCTCAAGATGCTCTCCCTGGTCCTGATGAACAAGCCCCTCAAGCACCCGGGCACACCCAAGGGCCTCATGTCCCCAGTCTCCACGGCCGGTAAGCAGAGACCGTCCAAGAAACAGAAGGCGTTAATCCTTCACTCCCTCTCTGCGGTATCACTGCTGTTTTACAGTTTGTAGAAAACAAAAGCGAGGTAAAGTTTCAAGCTAACACGCCCTCCCCGGTGATGTTTATCAACAGTTTTCTGGGCATGGAGTGATGGGATGCCAGTCTGTAGTAGGTTACTCCTCAATCACTGTTGGCACCCGTTCAAACTCCAGAGTGGAGAGCATCACATTGGAGTAAAATGCCTTGCCTAGGGACACAGCACGTCAGTGGTCAGTGGCTGGATTCGAACCCCTAGACCTTCTGACTCAGACTAATAAACCCTAATCGCCAGCCTGCGCTCCTATCTTTTTTTTAGTGCCCCTTCGAAAAAACAGAATTTGTCCTCCAAAGAGAGGTTTCATTGCCATCCTTCTGTAATCTTTGGCCCCGTCCATAACAGGCTTCCAGAACTACGGCTAGGTCTATTGTCAGCACGGCCCTTCACTGTCTGAATGAAGCGAAGACCTAGACCTAGCTCCAGACAACAAATTCGCATGCGGCTTATAGTTTTCACCTATAACCTTTGACCTTTCACCCTTTTGCCATCTTCAGTGCTCTGCCAATTTTGTACAGTGTGAACGGACTCGGGTTTTTTTTGTCCCTCTTGTCCAGGTTCCAGCCAGGGGGCCGCCGAGTTTGGGGACATCACCAGCACCGTGCTGGCCCTGCAGACCCTGGGCAGCTTTGACTTCGAGGGCCACTCCCTGACCCAGTTTGTGCGCCACTGCGCCGACCACTTCCTGTCCAGCGAGCACAAGGAGATCCGGGCCAAGGCCGCCCGGACCTGCGCCCAGCTCCTCCAGCCCTCCATCAACGTGAGTTGATTTCCTGAAGAAAATTGTGGCACCAGTCGCTCAGTAAATTTGAGGTCCAACCTGTGACTTCTCTCTGTCCCCGTAACACCTGACCTGTGTAATTTGACCAGGGAAATTTCGCTGCATTTGACTTCAATTTATTTTGATTTGTTTAGCAGGTCATTCGCAATACTTACAGTCACTCTTAGAAACTAAAAGTGTTCTAAACTTGCAAAAATCATATGTCAGATGTAACAGGGGCAGGGCAAAAAAAATGAACCCCAAATTGGTAGAATGACCGATATTCAGTTAACATTTCTTTATGCAGTTGGTGTTAATGTGGTCCCTCCCCCCTAAAAAAAAACCAAGACAAGATATGGTGGCCAACTTGTCAAATATAGCCAAATGTCACAAATGTATACTGACTTGTGAGAGTTGTTTATTCTTATCTCAGCCTCGTTCTATGCAACACTCCAAGGCCCCAACGTGGGGTTACTGGCTAACTCGGTAGAGCCTGGTTTTATATCGACTTGAGAAACACAGAGAGCAGCACAATCAAGACGCAAACTGCAACGCAGACAAATGGACACATGCCAAACAGAAGTGTTGCCACAAACGCAAACCAGCCCCAGACGGATCGGCAAAGTTGAGCTCGGTTCAACTTTACTGACTGTCTGCGTTGAGTTGCTTAGTAGGCCTGTACAAACACACACGCTGGCATGATGGGCGTGTACAACGATGTTTCTCTCGCTTAGTACCACTCATTATGTCAATTTTCTCCTTATTACTAGCGTATGCAGCCCTAATCGTCGACAAAACAGCTGACCATTAACAAATTACACCAAACTGGAGTATCAGTTTGGCTTCAAGAGGCGACATTGCTACCTAGAAGAGGCATTTTTTGCAAAAATTTACCGAGTTTCGGATGCCATTTAAAAATATTTTTGGGTGGAATGACATTGCATAGCATCTTTTCCGCCACTGTCTGGGTCTTGACGTCTTGCATTCCGTCTGCATTACAAACCTTATGGAAACCAGGCATAACTGGAATTGCAATCCCTTCTTGCATTGGCACCACGGTACCACGCTCTTGGTTTGCGTGCGCATCAAATGCCTCTTCATCCTATGGTGTGTGTTTTTCTGTTCTTTTTTTAATCTCTCAGCTTCGTTCAAACCGCCCTCACCCGGTCAGCACCACTAACATCCACGTTGTTGCCGATGTGCTTAGCAAGCTGCTAGTGGTTGCCATCACAGACTCAGGTAAGTTGATCCACCTCCAGGGCAGAGGTTTGGAGATGAGGAGTGCTCACATACCCCCCCAAGCTAGCTTTGTTTACCCCTCCCAGGAGGTTATCTTTTACATGCATAGAAATGTTTCAAAATCTTGTAAGCGAAACCTCCTTCAATTGATTCGATTTCAATTAAAGAACCTTGCCTCAAAATCGTAACGACTAATGAATGGAAAGGCTCAGATCCCCTCACAAGCTGCTTTTTGTGTCCACAAGCAGGCCATTTAACCACATCCGTTTCTTTCTCCTTCATCTCTCCGCTTCCCAGATCCCGACATCCGGTACTGCGTGCTGGCCTCCCTGGACGACCGCTTCGACGGCCACCTGGCCCAGGCCGAGAACCTGAGCGCGCTCTTTGTGGCCCTCCACGACGAGGTGTTTGAGATCCGCGAACTGGCCATGTGCACCATCGGCCGGCTCAGCAACCTCAACCCGGCCTTCGTCATGCCCTCCCTGCGGAAGACGCTCATACAGGTGCTGCCTCATTTCAAGGCCTGCTCGGCCAATTGTGTAGTCAGGAAGCGCACCCAACCACCAATGTAGCTGTTGGAGGTGCTCTGTCGTTATTACCCCTGCTCATAGGGCTTGTGAACATTTCTTAGACCAACTCAGATCCCTAGAGATGTCAAGAGGTCGATGCTGCTATGTCAGGACATATGGGTTATCAAACACAGGGACCTCATGCAGGTAGCCATTTTGCTTCCAGGGGGGGAAACCAATTAGTGGCAAAGTGTCTTGCTCAAGGACACAGACTATGTAACCTCACAAGCTGGACTTAGATCCACTATCCACAGAATTAACCACAGATCGTGAGATAGATGCTCAAGGCCGCAAATCCACGATACTCCGGTTTCACAGAACATCTCAGCACTGCTTTAAAAGCAACAGCAGGGCACCAGCCAACACGTCGCACAGTACATATGCCACTCACGACTGGTTCCCAGGCAGTTTCTTTTGCTCGACAAGACAATCATCAGTTTCTTTACAGAAGTATTCACTCAAGACCGCTTGAGCCTATATGTGGTTCCTGGTTCCTTCGTTTTCAGATTCTGACGGAGTTGGAGCACAGCGGTGTGGGTCGGAACAAGGAACAGAGTGCCAGGATGCTGGCCCATCTGGTGTCCAATGCACCGCGTCTCATACGGCCCTACAT